CCCCCGCTGTATTTTTAAATACGCAGTAGAGGTATTTAAAGGTAGTAGAGGACATGTACCTGTATATAAAAAAAGGCGCCCTATAGTCCGGTGCGCCTTATGTGTGTGTTAAATACAGAAATGGCACACATAACTGAGACTGCGCCTTTTAGTACGGTGCGCCTTATGGTCGTGAAAATACGGTATATAAAACCTAATTCTTACTAGTATAATTTTGTTTTTTGCATTCTGAAATTTGGTTTCCACTGCAAAAATTTCATTTATAAAATATATTATTTGTTAGGTCAAGGAGTGTAATTTTGATATTCTGCAAATGGCATGACAGGAGATTTATTTAAAAAAATAAAAAATGTAAAAACAGCCTGCCATAACACACTACATTTAAAGCTATGCATGAACTCCAGCAACCATCTCCACCATCTTTCTCTCCTTTCTTTCCTTTAAAACACATTACCCTATTATTTATTTTTTCCAATTCTTCATTTAAATCTCTAGTTTCAGTGGGTTGCCATGGGCACTTCCCGATGCCTGTCGTCATGGTGACTCGTCAAATCGGGGCTCCACTGATAATGGCTTTTCATACTTGTTACGTACGTGTCCAACTCTGAGTGGACCTACTAAGAGTTGATTAAACTATTTCATAGCAGCCCTTGTGAAGCTGAAAACTCAACTTTAGGCTATATCAATCTAGTGTTGAGGATTTTAATCAGAGTTTGTTAAACCTGCTTCATGAAACAGACCCCTGCTCTCAGATTTTGATCTCTTTTATCCTCAACACTGTAAATTTATTCCGTTACTATATTTAGCAACTGTTTCAGACCCATTCGTTTTTTTACTGTCACACTTAAATTTTCACTAATTGTTTCACACACAGCCTCTCACCTCATCCTCACTGGGTGACCCTGCTATTCTTTAGTTAAATTAGATAATATATATCTATGTAGTGTTATTTATTTTATATTTTACCTGAACCAAGTTCATATTTTTTTAGTTAAAGCATATTTCAAGTGATTTAATCACTTTGTATTTCTAATCTTTTATAGTCCTCACTGCAACAAAAATACAACGTACTCAAAGATATAGTATGAGGTTGTGCGTGGATTTTTGCTTTTGTGCAGCACTGTGGTCCTGTTGGTTTTTAAAGTGCTGAATAAATAAAGTTGGATTGGATAGTATTTTAGCTATGTAATGTTACGCATGTAGTGTTTTATATTCAAGTTAGTTGAACTTTTATTCCATGTGTTGTTTTGTTCTAAATGTTAAAAAAAAAAAACAGTCAGTGCTTAATTATTTTCAATGGCTCATTTTGATTATAACAAAAAGTATTGATAACTGTAGCAATATAAACACCATATTGATAAGTATAAATTAAAGCAGTAGTATCCATAAACCCTTAATGATACCTAATCCATAGTCATTCGATTCCTCAAACAAATTAAACATGCCTACATCAATGCATGTATAGTTTTATCCTACATTTACGTACTTGCATTGGTCCTGGTCTCCTGAAAGGCAGCCGTGGAGGTCTGCTGCCGTCATGCATCTCATTAACAGGTCTGGAAAATGATTGATGATTATAGGTTACAAATGTATAATATCATTACACTGCAATGAAATAAAAGAAAAAAAAATAGAGCCTTTTAACAAAAACAACTTGTCTATACATTACACTTCTAATTAATGTGTATCATAGAAAGTTTTGCACAATTGTGAAATTAAGAGGAAAAACATTTTTGCCCTTTTTTTGTTAAAAATAGAAAGGGCTCTGAGGTCAGTAGAGTGAAGAACTGGCTTTCTCTGCAGTCATAGCTTTTATTCATTTTTGTTGGTGTAAAATTAACCTGGTTTTCACATAGAATACAACATTTATTTCCCCTCTAGTTGGCAAGATGTCCGGTCAGTCTGAGCTTGGAAACATGAATTTTCAAGTCTTGCTACAGATTTAAATTAGGTTTCGGAGTCAAAGTTGAGTTGGTCGCTCTAAAACAACACCCACTGATTCACACTATTTAATTGTTATTTTAGTTGGTTTGGTGTGGTGTCCCATAAAACAAACAAAGCTTTTCATGATTAAGAT